CTGTTCTTCTCAAGAAGCCCCTTGGTCCTTCCTGCAAAAGACTGCTGGCAGGGAGGCCCCCTGACCTCCAGCTCTACCCTCCATCCCTTGCTTGCTTGAGTCTGTAAGCATTATATGGCTTATTTGTTCACAGGGGGGGAATGGGGGTGAGTTAGTATGAAATCGAACTGCCAGAGTACTAATACCAGGTCCATGTCTTACTGGTTTGTGACCTTGGGTTAGTTACTTCACCTCTCTAGGTCTGACTTTGTCTTATCAGTTAAATGGGAATAAAAATTGCACTCATTTCACAGGTCTGATGGCACCAAGTCTGTACTGCTTTTGAGATAATGTTGACACAGTGAATGCACAGCAGATGTGAACCTTTCTTGTAAAAGGGATTTGAAAATCCACAGCATAATCTGTGGTCATTCAGCCAGGCTGAGTTGGAGCCTTCTCCCTCTCTGGGTCAGGTAAGATGTGTTAGCACAATGGCAAGGAAGTGCATGGCCTTGAACTAGCCTCAGATTTAGGTCAGCGTAAAGGGGGGACTCTGCCATGTTCTCAGGGTCCTCTCTACATACCTGGGGAGGGGTGCCAGAGAGGTGAGAAACAGAGGGGGTGGGAAGCAGGTGTCTATGGGTTTGTGTTAAGTGCTGACCCTGCTCTTCACAGCCTCTGTCTCATCCATCCTTATGACAACCCAGTGAGGTGGTTGTTCCTCTTTTCTTTACAGAGAAATGTAAATGAGGTGAGATGAATCATCAAATCAGAGAGATGAGGCAAATTCCCCCAGGCCACGTGGCTGCTGCTGCTGATGATGATACAGCTGACATTTAAGCACCTGCTTGTGCCAGGCATGGCTCTAAACACTTCACAGACATTAACTCCTTTAATCTTAACAGCCACTCCTGAGTCAGTACAATTTTTATCCCCATTTTACAGATGAGAACTCCAAAATGCAGAAAGATTAAACAACTTGACCAAAGATGTATGCTAATAAGTGACAGATTTAGGACTTGAATCAAGATGGTTGTGACCAGAGTTCGGCAAACCTTTTCTATAAAGGACCACGTACTAAATATCCTATCTGTGCAGTTTCTGTCACAGATACTCAGCTCTGCCATTGTAGTACAGAAGGACCCACAGACTGTGTAAACAAATGAACATGGTTGTGTTGCAATAAAGCGTTGTTTAGAAAACAAACAGTGGGCCCGTGTTAGCCCACTGGCCAGAGAGTGTCCACCATGATCTTAACTGCTATATTAAAAGAATGAGGACCCAGAAGCATCAAACCTCTCTGAGAAATAAAAATCATAACTATGAACAAAATGTGAGACAATTCTCCGGCCTTTTTAAAAGATTTTATTTATTTGTTTGAGAGAGAGAGAAAAAAAAAATCATGAGCAGGGGGAGAAGTAGAGGGAAAATCAGACTCCCTGCTGAGCAGGGAGCCCAACGCAGGGCTCCATCCCAGGACCCTGAGATCATGACCTGAGCCGAAGGCAGATGCTTAACGACTGAGCCACCCAGGCACCCCTCCCTCTCTGATTTCTTTCCATTCCATTTTCTCTCCCTTCCCCTATGATCCTCTGCACAGTTTCTTATATTCTACATGAGTGAAACCATATGATAATAGTCTTTCTCTGATTGACTTATTTCACCCAACATAATACCCTCCAGTTCCATCCACATCGATGTAAGTGGTAAGTATTCATCCTTTCTGATGGCTGAGTAGTATTCCATTGTGTGTGTATATATATATATACCATATCTTCTTTATCCATTCATCTGGACATCTTGGCTCTTTCAATAGTCTGGCTATTGTGGACATTGCTGCTATAAACATTCTTTCTTGATAAAAACTCTCCACCCTGTAGGGATAGAGGGAACATACCTCAATATCATAAAAGCAGTATACAAAAAGCCCACAGTGAATATCATTCTTAATGGGGAAAAATTGAGACCTTTTTCCCTGAGGTCAGGAACATGACAGGGATGCCCACCCTCACCACTGTTGTTCAACATAGTACTAGAAGTCCTAACCTCAGCAATCAGACAACAGAAAAAATAAGAGGCATTCAAATTGGCAAAGAAGAAGTCAAACTCTCACTCTTTGCAGATGACATGATACTTTATGTGGAAAATCCAAAATACTCCACCCCAAAATTGCTAGAACTCATATAGGAATTCAGCAAAGTGGCAGGATATAAAATCAATGCACAGAAATCAGTTGCATTTCTGTACACTGAGACGGAAGAAAGAGAAATTAAGGAATTGATCCCATTTACAATTCCACCCAAAACCATAGGATACTTAGGAATAAACCTAACCAAAGAGGTAAAGGATCTATACTATAAAAACTACAAAACACTTATGAAAGAAATTGAGGAAGACACAAAGAAATGGAAAAACGTTCCATGCTCATGGATTGGAAGAATAGACATTGTGAAAATGTCTATGCTACCCAGAGCAACCTACACATTCAGTGCAATCCCTATCAAAATACCATCGACGTGTACTCTGAAAATCAAACAGGGTTCTAGAGGGGAGGGGGGTGGGAGGATGGGTTGGCCTGGTGGTGGGTATTGAGGAGGGCACATTCTGCATGGAGCACTGGGTGTTATGCACAAACAATGAATCACGGAACACTAAATCTAAAACTAATGATGTCATGTATGGGGATTAACATAGGAATAAAAAAATTAAAAAAAAATACCATCGACGTTTTTCACAGAGCTGGAACAAATAATCCTAAAATTTGCATGGAACCAGAAAAGACCCTGAATAGCCAGAGGAATGTTGAAAAAGAAAACCAAAGCTGGTGGCATCACAATGCCGGTCTTCAAGCTACGTTTTGTCTTATTTTCAAGTTTGAAGAACTTAACTTTCTTAATGGGGGTTCATTTTGTTTTTGTCACTTTCACCATCTTAGCTCATTCATTCATCTCTCCATCCATTCGTTGTGTACCAATCACCATGAAGCACACAGCAGAACAGACAGAGCTGGCAAACACATCCCCCTGTGCCCTCAGCAAGCTGCCCTATCTGGCGGGATGCACCATGCACTGGTGTCATTCCATATTAGTCAGAATGAGGACAGAGCTTCTGAAGCCCCACCGATGTGTCCTGTGGGCACGTTGGTGCAATTCACTGCGGTCAGGGGATCAGAGAAGGCAGCCTTTTTAAGTGAAACAGTATGTACTTCCCTATGATCACTTTACAAATGAAAGTCTGTCTGCTTAAAACCACTTTGGGGTGCCTGGGTGGTGTAGTCCGTTGAGCATGCGACTCTTGGTTTTGGCTCAGGTCGTGTTCTCATGGGTCATTTGATAGAGCCCCGAGACAGTCTGGGGGGCTCTGGGCTCAGCAGGGAGTCTGCTTCAAGTTTCTCTCCCTCTGCCCCTCACCCCCCCACTCACTTTCTCTCTCTCAAATAAATAAATAAAATCTTAAAAAAAAAAAAAAACCACTTTGCCTATAGGCCAGCACCTTCTGTTGTTTTCTTTTTAATTTTGTTCTTTTTTATAGTTATTTTCAGTGTCCTTTCCATTTGGTCAATTTGATCATTTTGCATAAAGTAGCCTTTACATTTTAAAAATTTTCTGAGGTGCGCCTGGGTGGCTCAGTTGGTTAAGCATCTGCCTTCAGCTCAGGTCATGGTCCCAGGGTCCTGGGATCGAGTCCTGCATCAGGGAGCCTGCTTCTCCCTCTGCCTGCCACTCTGCCTGCTCGTGCTGTCTCTCTCTGTCAAATAAATAAATAAATAATCTTTTAAAAAATAAGGTTTTCTGAAAGGTGTTTATCACATTGGAAAAACTTGGTATTTTATTTATTCTTGAACACTTTAAGGACTTTTTAGCCTATAAACTGGAACACAATTTCTTTAAAATTTGTATCTTAACAATATATGGCTATCAGCGGTACTCAAAATGTCATTAAATTGTTTATTATGCACTGCCCTCTACCTTTAATTCAGATCCATCACAGAGAATGTATCAAGGTATTGAAATTGCATGAATTGTTACCCAGCCACATATTAATTTGCCAGTTAGGTATTGGAGAAAGATTGATTACAGGTGGCATGGGCTAGATTTTATTTTCTAAGGAAATAATCAGACACGAGTGAAGAGGTTGATACGAAGATGTTTGTCACCACATGATTTTCAATAGCAAATAATAATAGACTAATAATAATTGATTGCTATAAATAAATGATACATCTATACAATGAAATGTATGCCGCTGTTCAAGGTTATATCATAATTCATATTTGGTATGAAAAGATATTCTGCTATTTTGCTACATGAAAAAAGCAAGTTGAATAGAGTGTAGGCCCTATGACGAAGCCGCAGGAGACACAGTTGACAGTTACATATATAATGTAAGCAGTGGAAAAGTGTTGTCATTGGTTTTCTGATGGTACACTCACAGAAGACAAGTATTCATGGTGTGTTTTGTTTTGTTTTGTTTTGCCAATCTGGATTTTCAGGTTTTTCTACAATGAATATGTCGACTAAACATTGCCTAAGCAGGAAAGCCCCACCTCCAGCATTTTCCATAGGCCTGGCGAAGGAAGGAAGGAAGGGAGGAAGGGAGGGAGGGAGGGAGGGAGGGAGGGAGGGAGGGAGGGAAGGAAGGAAGGAAGGAAGGAAGGAAGGAAGGAAGGAAGGAAGGAAGGAAGGAAGGAAGGAAGGAGAAAAGGGGGTTTGTTCTAAAATCTTCTTTCCTTGAGTGGCTATTTGCACTGAAGTCTTTGGGTCTGGAAGCGCCTGAGGTCCAGGAGCTGAGTGCTCACAAAGAGCTTGAAAGCCCCTGGGAAGTTCATCAGAATTGCTGAAAGAAGACTATCTCCAGAACCTTCCTTCCTTGGGAGAGGTAATGAAGCGCAGGTGTTTCTGGAGGCTTAGGGTGGTGTGAAATACCTGGGAAACTCTGCTCCTCCTCAGCTTGTGGCAGTTTCAGGGGCTCCTCCCTAGTGCATTATTAAAAGGGCTGAGGCATCCCAGAGGAGCAGGCAGATACCACAGGCTCTGCCAGGAGAAAGGAGCATTCCGAGGTGTCCTTTGGGGAGCTGGGTTTCATTCTCCCCAGCAGGACTGGGGCTCTCTCCTGACCCCAGGCCTAGAATCCCCTGCTCTGTGGGGGATGTTCACATGCTGGGGAGAGGGGTGGTAGGGTTAGAAGGCTGTTTGCTACTCAGGCCCCTTCCAGCCCAGCCTCTATCTCCACCTAAGATTTTGTGTTATTTCAGAATAGGAGAGTCTACACACTGTGAAGCTCAAGATGGTCCTGAGTGGGGCACTGTGCTTCCGGTGAGTATCTGAACCTCTGACTGGCTGTGTCCTCTGGGGGAAATAAGTTCCAGGTAGACCTGTTGTCCATCCTTTCTGGGTAGGGAGGGGCTGCACCTGCCCAGAGTTGGGGCTCTCATAGGTGGGTGAACAGCTGGGAAGTTGTAAACAGCCCCTCATTATCCTAAGAGAAGTTTTTCCAGCCTTTGTCAGGCTGGGACTGGCCACCTCATGGGGGTTCCCTGACGAGAAGGGGGAGCAAGTGAATCACTCTGTGTAGAGCTTCAGCCCCACATATCCATAATGAGAATGGAAGTCAGGAGACCCAGCTCAGAGCTGTTACCACCCACTGGGGTGAATTGATGTCACTCTGCTCCACTATCTCCCTGCTGCTCTTTGGGGACAACAAAACTATTTGGTCAATCAGTCTGTCTGTCTGCTGGCATGTACTGAGCCAGGCGGTCTGCTGTGTTCTGGACTTCGCACTAGTGAGTGAAAATGGTCCTAGTTCTCTCTGAACTCAGAGTCTAACATAGCTTTGCCCAAGGTGGGTTCTGGGGAGCCCCGACCCTATGAGTTGCTTTATATAGTGGAGCTCCTTGATTAAGAGATGTGGGAAATACTGCTTTCTGTGTCTTATAAGAGAACCATGGTACAATTCAATATATTAGTAACTTTCAATGAGATTTGTTTGTGTTTAGCCACCACTGAACCAATTTGCACATAGCATACTTATTTCCATATAACACCTGAAGAAACCCATTTTAGGATATATTTTTCTCCTCACAAGATGTCAAAAAATCAACTGAAATCAGAAATGAGAAATAAATTTGAAAAGTAAAATATAAGAATTTTAAATTTATTATTTTATTTTTATTTTTTAAAGATTTATTTATTTATTTGAGAGAGAGTGTGCAGTGGGGAGGGGCCGAAGGAGAGGGAGAGAGGAACTTAAGCAGACTTCAGACTGAGCACGAGCCCAACGCAGGGCTCGATCTCATGACACTGAGATCACGACATGGCCCAAACCAAGAATCTGACGCTCAACCGACTGCGCCCCTCAGGCGCCCCAAGAATTTTAAATTTAAAGATATTCCTCACTTAATAGGTGGAAGTAAATGTGCCTTGATGTCTTCAATAATGACTGAAGAATCAGATTTTCATCTGGAAGAGGCTTGGGCATTATCTAACCCATTGTCTTAATTAGCAACAGGGAAATTCAGGCCCAGAGAGAGCAAGCAACTTGTCTGTTGGGACTCAGCAGCAGTGGCAGCACAGCCAGATAAGAACCCAGGATTCTGACTCACAGTCCAGTTTCTTTTCCAACATCACACATGGAGGAGATTGGTTGGTGTAGAAAAGATTGAATAGGGTGAAGACTCAGATGGGAGGTTATTGTTATCCCATTAGTAGGGTATGAGCCCAGCAGGGCAGGCAGAGAAGGTTGGGTGGTTACTTCTGGCACAGCGGGAGGAGAGGGAGACAATGCCTGACACTGGGGGACTCTGTAGAGCCCAGCAATCCCGAGCACCCACCCCTCCCCTAACTAAGCATCATCCTGTCTTGATGTTTCAGAATGAAGGATGCGGCCTTGAAGGTGCTTTATCTGCATGATAACCAGCTTCTAGCTGGAGGGCTGCATGCAGGGAAGGTCATCAAAGGTTGGTGGCAAAACATGACCCTACTTCCCTAGGTCTCTATACACTCTGAGGGGAGGGGGCCTGGAGGGGGCTTAGAATAGCTATGCAAACTGGCACAGGCCTACAGATCCCAGGCCTGACACTGTAGATGGGCATCATAAAAGCAGGCTCTGAACAAGGACAAATAAAATACTACGCCTTCCAGCAAAGTGAGGACACCTACCCCATTGCCACCTGAAGCCTCTATGCAAAGGTGGGAATATTTTCCAGGATGAATGCTTTGTTCTTCCCTCATAGGTAGACTTAGGCCAAACATTCCTTTTCCTGGGAGCAAGTGCTGGGGAGAGATCTAAAATAGGCTCCTAGGCCTTTATTCCCATATGGGAGTGGCTTTCTATCCCTTTGCCCTGGGTGGGTTCCCTCTGCTCTCTGGGGATTCCTGGTCCCTCAGAGTGATGGGACCCAGATAGCAGGTGGCACCATCTGGCCTCATGCCCCAGACACCATGACAGGCCTTCTCTCTAAAATAGCACATACCTGCCCACTTGGGACACATTTACTAGGCTCTGGGGCCAGGCAGTGTGTGTGTGTGTGTGTGTGTGTGTGTGTGTGTACACGTGTGTATGCATGCATGCATGTATGTGAGTGTGTGTATGTGTTTGTATGTGTGGTATGTGGTAGGGTAGGTTTGTATGTGTGGTACAGAGAGGAATGAGACCCTCTTCTGTTCTCATGTTGGTACAAACATGTCCAAATAACTCTGATGAGAGGCTTATCAAATCAAGTTTCCAAAAGAAGGCCAGAGGGTCAAGAGGCATTAAAGGAGGTGGTCAGATCTCCCCTGGGGGTTAGAGAAGACTTGAAGGTTTGAGCCTGGACAAGGGGGTGGGCTAGGGGTGGGAGATGGTACAATGTGCTTACATGCCTTGATGTCATTGGGCCAACTGGCAGGAGACCACCCTTCCCTAGATGACAGCTGCTACCAGGCTTCCTTTCTGCCCAGTCTGGGGACAGGATGTCTCATATAGGTCTTGTGCTTCAAAGTCCACGATTTGGGGAGAGGGAGGGAAGGGCAGTCAGGGACCCTGAATCTGGCTTCCTTTCTCTAGGCGAGGAGATCAGTGTTGTCCCCAACCGGTCTCTGGATGCCAAGCTGTCTCCAGTCATCCTGGGCGTCCAGGGAGGGAGCCAGTGCCTGTCGTGTGGGACAGGGCAGGAACCGACTCTGAAACTAGAGGTGAGTCCTGTTAGGGCATCCTTGCTATCTGACTTCACTAAGCCAGCAGATGCTGAAGCCACTGGGCCAGGCATCCTGGGGCCTGATCCTCTCCCTCGCAGGGTTCTGTTGATGACAGCCCTGCCTCTCCATGCCCATGGCCCAGCTCTCCTGCCTCCTCCGCTCCTTCCCCTCACCTGCCATGCCTCTCCACTCACAGCCAGTAAACATCATGGAACTCTACCTCGGTGCCAACGAATCTAAGAGCTTCACTTTCTACCGGCGGGACACGGGGCTCACCTCCAGCTTCGAGTCAGCTGCCTACCCAGGCTGGTTCCTCTGCACCGTGCCCGAAGCAGACCAGCCTCTCAGACTTACCCAACTCTCAGAGGATGCCAGCTGGGGCAACCCCATCACAGACTTCTACTTCCAGCAGTGTGACTAGGGCAATGCACCCCCCAGAACCTACTTGGGCAGAGCCGGCTCAGGCAGGGGCGGACGTAGAGGAGGACACTGATGGCAACCTCCCCCCATCTGTTCTCAGGGCCCCACCTCTGGCTGGGCACTTGGCCACTCTCCCTTTTGATTCCCAGTTTGGGTAAATCCTTCTGAGATTTGGGGCTTAGTCCATAAGTTTCTTTCCCTATTGAGTGGTGCTACTGGTGTAGAACCTTGCGAAAACCACTCAAGATAAACTGGAAGTCACATGAAAAGTTTCCCAGGGGTCAGGGTGGGGGGAGTGTTGGAAGCTGTTCATGCTTCATGGTAACTTACCCAGTACCCCTGAGCCCCACAAGCCAGCCAATCCCAAGTTGAGCCTATTAGGGCCACCAGCTGCCCACATGAGGTCCTGTCATCTATCACTATGCAGGAGAGGGAGGTCATAGAGTTAGGGACCCAAAACCCAGCCCGCTCCCTCTTTCCTGTAACTCAGCTGCCATCATATTCTGCATTTCCATCTCAACCCTCATGCGCTAGCCATGGCAGGAGAGGGTGGTGGTGTCCAAGGAATTGACTCCAGCTCAGAAGGCTGAAGAATGGCCAGGCATGTCATATGTTTTGAAACCTGAGGTGCCATTAAAATCCAAGATACTGGTACCTATTCACATGGAAAGATGCTTGTGACATATTAAGAAGAGCAAATTACAAATTAGCATATCTTGTAATTTCATTTTAATTAAAAAATACCTATCTATATATTTCTTTTTTTTTTTTTTTTTTTTTAAAAGATTTTATTTATTTATTTGAGAGAGAGAATGA